CACATAACAACAACATACTGAGTTTGTGTGTGTGTGTGTGTGTGTGTGTGTGTGTGTGTGTGTGTGCCGTAGTAGCAAGAAGTTGCTCTGTAATCCCCAAGGCACATTGTTCTGAGGCCATCTGCTCTATGGGAGAAGGATAAACAATTTCTTCCTGCGTGGTTAACTGCTATAGGTTGCTTCCAACTTGATGGTACACAAGAAGTGAAAGGAAAGAAATTCTTCATGTTCCTACATTAAAAGTCTTGTTCATATCTGAATATTACTAACTAGAATTTTCATTTTTAACAAATTCCTTTCCTGATTTTGATTCAGGTGATTTAAGAGTTTTAATTTGTGATATATATTAGAAGACAATTAATTTATTATTTAGAACTATCATATTCTGAAATTTCAGAATTAACTATTTTACTTACCATTTTCTATAACTGGTGTTTAACCCTAGGTGACAGATGTTTTACATCTCAGTAGCAAAGTTAACAGTGATGTCTTTCACCATAATGTGGCACATGAAAACACTAAATTTGGTCAAGAAAAAAGTGATGATGTATATTTTCACTTGTGTTTGTTGCTATCTTGACTTGTTGACTATTGGAGTGTTTTGGGGGAGAGCATACATAGTGTATCAATCCCATTCCAAGTGTGGTACTGAGGAAATCTATAAATAAATTTTGAGTAGTTAAGATCTAAAAGCTGAAAAGTCATTTCATTAATTATAAAGAATCAGACGGGAAGCTTAGAGTAGAGGATGTAGCAAATGGACTTCTTAATACTAAAGCCCAGAAGTAATAGGTTAGTTGCCAACAGATTGGTTTTGCCAAAATGTTTCTCACTAGGTTCTGAGCCATCCTCATGATGGTAGGAATGTTTCAATCTACTGTCTTTATTATTGTGTCAATTAATTAAAGAGTTTTCTTCATTTTCCTTGACACTTTACCAATGTTGTTGTTATGGGTTCTTGGGACTCATAGCAACTTTATGGACAATAGCTTTGAACTATCCTCCATCCTGAGACAATCTCACTGATCTTTTTTGAACACATGCACAAAATTAACTACTCAAGCTTGCTATCCTTACTTCTAGGGAATTTGCATTTCTTTAAAAGCTGTTTTGTTCATTCTGCTAAGCCAAGCCAATGCTGTGTGTTCTTGACCACCACTTACAATTCAAATGCACCTATTTTTCTTCACCCTTCATTTTTCTTTTTTGTTATTATTCATTTTAATGAAAATTTACAGATTTTTTTTATTTCCATTCATTCATTGCTATACTTTTTTCCCTGCCCACTTCCACCCCCCGTACACTCTTCTTTTTGAAAAGTAAAAGAAAAATTCTTTCATTGTTTTACATTCCCTCTCCCAGGTCCACTCCTCTATGCAGCCTTCACTCTGGACTCCTGTCACGACAATACCTAATCACATATCTCTTTTAAACAGTTTTCTCCCGTATCCGTTTCAACGGCATCCTTAATTTTTCATTCTCCAACTTTCACATACATTTAAGACACTGAAAACCCATAGCTTTGATTTGGTACTCCTACAGATCAGCGTTCGGGCAAAGGTCTGGGGTTTTCATGTGATTCCATGGACTCCAAAACTCTTGATTCCAGGAGACTTAAATTTAAGTTGTTGTTGTTGTTGTTGTGTACCGCCCTTCGGGTAGAAACCAACTCATAGCTGACCCTCAGGTTACCCACATGGGGGGAGATTGCCCATCCTTCTTCCACGAAGCAGCTGTTGCATATGTCTAAATTATTTATTCAAGGAAAATAATTTTTTT